TTCAATTATTGAAGTTGAAAAAACCTTTAAAACACAATTCGAGACATACTTGTTTCTTTTGAATCTGTTGTCGTTGCCAGAGACGGAATTGCATCACTTGTTCCGGGGGGAACCCCTTGAACCTGTCCACGGGTCTGACTTGAAGCTGCAAATTCCCCAAAGCAGCAGTTTTCGGCCTCGCATAAAATGTGTCAATAGATTTGGACCTCGGACCGTGGATGTGAACTTGAGCTTCCGAAGGAGTGGACTCAGTCAACAAATCGCTGTTTTCTGTGGCCACTTGTTCCTCTAAATTCCACATTTGTTGCAGAGACTTCATCTGGTTCATTTTCACGCAGTCTTCCACGGCCTGTTAATTCAAATTCATTCCATATTCTACTTTTGTGAAAATTGAGAAAAATTGGATGGGGAGGGGGTGTCATACAGAGGCTTTTTTAATCAGTGTGAAATTGTGGTACATGTTGCATTTGGCGCGGTACTCAAAATCTCCTATATAAATTTTTCCGTGAAAATATATACATACAATCATGATTTCTATCTCATTTGGAATCCTGTGTCCATAACACAAAATGATATCATAATATAAGATTGAGATTGAATCCTTGATTTATATAGGAAGAAAAAATAAGGTCTACTTTACCATCGCGAGCTTTTCATTTGAACATTGATCGAGTTATGCTAAGTAACGTAAATTCATATTCACAGTTGAATTTTGGTTGAAAAACCTTATTGGTTCCAGAAAAACTTTTTTTCAACTGAATAACATTTTTCCTTGCAACTTCAATGATGAAGAAATTAGGATTTCTGGCGCCTAAGAGAAAAAGACCATTGAAAATTTCGAATAATGATTCATCCCTTAGTTGTATGAGCTACCTTGACTTTTTTCTCTAAAGACCTGTACAACAGAAGCATTTTAATTTTTTTGATAAATGACAAGAAAATAAAAAAAAATCTCGGTTTTTTATTTACAAAACATGCTTCTATGCTAAGTGGCTATTAGCACAGTCTCAAACATATTGCCGAAGTTCAAAACAAAAAGCACAGAAGAGCACGAAATTATGTAGCAGAAAATAAACAAATCAAAATAATGTCAACGGTAAAATTTGAAAAGCACAGCAGGATTCATCTTATTATAGATAATCAGGTGGGCAGCATTTAAATTTCAACGCAAAAATAAATCCTTTGCGAAATGTATTGTCCATTATCATCCATTCAATTTTTTTCCTCCAGCAAGTCTTCATTTTCAAACTGAAGGATTTTTGCTGGAGAAAGTTATTTGTCCACAAAATGTTCGTTCTCTAACCGCAGCTGTAATTAATTTTTTACCAGAGTGGAACATTTTTTCATTATTTTAAATTGGGGGGTTTTGTTAACCGCGTGCCAGCATAAAGAAATGCATAGTTTGGTACAAAGCAAATGATTTAAACAACCACCAATGGAACATACAGTATTCAACATATGACATATGTTATATGAAAGCAAAGCAGTATAAATTTCCAAGAGCGGAAAATTATTTTTAGTAAAATTTTAAAACTCGAATTAACAAAAATGCGAATGTGACCTTTTCTTTGTTGAAGTGAGCAATGGCTTTTTCGAGTTGACGTTTGGCCCTTTCTTCGGCTTGATGCAGAAGCGTGGCTTTGTTTCTGAGTTGCGTTTCCCATTCCTGGTTTTTCTGCGAAATGTTCAATTCCTTCTCGGACATGGCACGTCTTTCTGCGAGCTGACTTTGCAGCCAATACTTTTGCTGCTGTTTCTGCAGCTCGAGTCTATGCTTCATTTCCAGGTCTTCCCCGGTGAAGCTGCGGAATTTTCGAAATTAAAAGTTGGAATGTTGGAACCTGGATCAAAGATACTTTTTGCAACAAAAAAAAAGTCCCGGAAGAATTGTCACCCAATAAAAAAAGCGCATCATGCCTATTCTGCTTTGTTGAAAACTGCTTTCATGTCGAACTCCGGTTTGAAGAAACGTTTTTTACTGCACATTTTTCAATAATTGAAGGTTCTCAAATGTCAGATTTATTTTTGATCATTCTAAACGCTTGAACAAGAGTTGAACTGAGAAGGAGAAAAATCCAAATTTGACCATATTTTCCGAAACAAAAATCCACTGCTTTCAACGTTGTGGTTCTTTATTATTTTTTCAATCGATACGCAATTCTTAAAATAATCAGCAAATGAAAACCATGACTTATAAGATCGCTTGAATGATTTTTTTATAGTCGGGTGATTGACCTTTGAATTGAATTTGCTGAAGAGAACATCACCTGAAATTCATCGTGAACTTCTCAAAAGCAAATAGAATTATTTCTGATAATTATCGGGCTGTATTTTATCCATTTTACATTCTGCGGTAAAAAAATATAATTTCATCGAACATCATCATTGCGCTTTTTCGCTTTAAAAAATGTGTAAAGTTCCTATATTTCTCCACAATGTTTCAAGGTCTCCACGACACATTTTGTGTTTTGAAGATTTTTTTTCCATGCGATTGACTTTGTTTCAACAAGATATAGGGGATCTAGATCAATGTCGTCTTCATGCTTTATCACGAAGCTAACCTTATTTTCGTAAAACTTACGAAACCAAATCACCTCCGTTCTTATTGAACTCTTCCAACTTGTATGATGTTTTCGTGTAAAATGTTTCACGGAGAAAGTCTCCGAATGAGAAAAACTACCTTTTCGCTGATGAGGGTCCTGCGTCAATTGTATACTGGTTTTCTGAGCCAAAAACGCTGTATTTGGATTTTTGCTCGAGTTCCTGGTAGCGCCAAAAATCTGCCATCTTCTGATTGAGGATTCTCATGTCCTGTAAAATATTCCAGGCGAGTATATCAGCAAATATTCAGCTCAGAAGGTAATTCAGCTTGACGAGCCTCGTGTCGCTGCTTCTCCAATGAAAGTGCGGTTAAATCGGAAGTGACCATAGTGAGGTCGAGCTCTTCGTCCCTGCGTCGGGTTTCTTCTTCTCTTCTCCTTCTAGACTCCACTTGCTGCTTCAGGCCTTGAACATCAACCTGTGACGGTTCATATGATGGATTCATTAAATATTTCAGATTAAAAAACCCATATCCTTTGATTTGCTATGAGAAATTATAAGAAAACTTGCCCCCATTTGGCGGAGTTTCGGGTCTAGAATCCGTTTTCTTCTCTCCTCTTCGAATTTTCTCCTCTTCTCCCATTTTGATGGTTTCGTCCTTTCAACTCTCGGAAACATCGCTGAAGTTGCGGAAAANGAAAAGTTTGGCAAACAAAAAATGGCAGCGATAACTTGAATCACGCTTCAAATATGTCTCACTGCGGGCACTATATATACATTGATTTATATATGTACAGGATGTATCACAGAATTACGCAGAACTCAGTTTTTTAATACAACAGTGAACAACATCGAATTTCCCCCTAAATATTTGGATCTCCCATGAATTCGTTTACAATAGACTGATGCATCTTATATACGGAAAATACCTCAAGTTATTTTTCGAGGATTATGCGACTAGTGATTGATGGAATTTCTTCAGAAAATGTTTCAATATTACTCCTCGATACTTTTTGTGAAGGAAGAGTTCTTGATGAGTGTTGAATTCATCAGAATCCATTGAGCGAAACAACTGAAATTCCATTACTATTGTGCCCTGCACTATAAGTATGCGTCCAAAATTTTAGAAACCGCTAATATCAAGGGGAACAAAGGTTATGACGCAGCTCTTTTGCAATTCGAAATAAGTTAAGAAATTTATGCATAGAATGTAATAACCTCAGATAGCCATTGAAATCAGCAAAAATAAAGCAACGAAATGTGATGAGAAAGTCTTTGTAGCTTTTCTTGGCTGGACCATTAATGCATTTCGTTGAGGATTGTTTTTCTTTACTGGAAATATCGAACTAATGTATTGTCATCAAGTTAGTGGGAAAATAAAATGATTTTGAGTCACGTAACTTCAATAAATAGCACCAGGAAAGTCAGACTGTTTCGGATCTGGAATCCCAGACAGAAACCACAGTTGAAAAAAAGTGTCTGGGTTGGTGGGTGGCACTTTCGAACCTGCTGCGGGTCGTCGTCGAGGCCGAGCGGGAAACGGATCATCGCTGGGTTTTAGAGTATGTGCAGTATATTGATCAAACAAAAGCCGTGTTATTCAGTGCATGCCTCTGCAAAACGATCTGGGGGTTCATGAACGCAAAGATTAAACCTATGGTTTGTAATCTGCAACCAAAATGCCAAGAGACTATCGTTGCGATTTCAGCTAGTGTGTAATGAAATATATTTAAAAACGCATCACGCGGTAAACGGATTTTTTTAGGCTCTATATATCGACGAGAATGCCCGGGTGAGGTGTAATCAATGCTGAAGTACAATACTTAACAGACCGATGAAATAAGCTATAGTATTCGGTTATCCCTGCGTTGTTTGCAAATAATCTCTGTCGAAGAAAGACATCGTTCCTCATCGACGCAGTTGCATCGCCGGAGTGACGCATGGCAGCATGGACGACTGATCGGAATCCGCGTGAGAATAGTACCCATCTGTGATAAAGGCTCTTGTCTCTACTATCAAAGCATATGGCGCTGGTCTATCGATCACCTCGGAGAAGTTCACGTGTGCGTGTGTGTTCTTAGATTATGCACGGCTGTTTGAATTTTCCTTGCTGTCTTGTTTCGTATTCCAGATTGTACAGATGCGCGAAATAACCTTCGTATGATACCTTCTAACTGTCATATTGTAATTGAGGGTCCCGAATACTTGAGTGCTGTTGCAAACCGTTTGTTTCAGTCCAAGTGAAAATATGCGTTTATATCGTTTTCGCTGGGAAATATGTTGAGAATATTGGCTATGGTGAAGATTAATAAAGAATATGAACTTCTACCTGGCAGTGAGCATGTTTCATTTTAAAAAGATGTTAATTTGCCGAACAGTCGCTATTGATCGACAAGATTGGTTTCGAAATCTTTGGTCCGACAATGATGGAAATCGGCTGCATTGTGATGTGAACTATGTATTTCTTTTGAATACAGAAATTCTGGAAGCCCCCAGTTCAAATAATCTGGGCGACGAGCGATCGTAATAACGATGGCGGAAGACATCAATATGGTATGAAGTTTCGGTTTGTGTTCTCGTACGGCGAAATAATTGGTGAAGTTTTGTTTGACAGGATGTGCTCCAATTGGAGTTGTTATGCAAACAGCTCTACGAGAGCCACGACACAGCGGAGCGAACTCGAGCTGAGAAAACTTTGATGGAGTTTCAGAATTCTGCAGATTCTCTGCCGAAATGTAGATTGCTTCTGGAAAGAGCGAATTCTCCGTATGCCCAATTGCTGGCAGCCCATACGCTGACGAAGCTCATCTCACGTCCCACTGTTACCATACCTTTGGAGCAACGCCTTGAAATTAGTGCGACTCTAGGAATACGTTTGTGTTTCCGACTTCTACTAATGTCTGGGTACATTTTCAGGGAACTATGTGCTTACATATCTAAGCACACATCCGAATCTTGCGAATTTCGTTCTTCAGGCCATGGTAACGCTCTTCGCCAGGTTGACGAAACTCGGTTGGTTTGATGCCGACAAGGATATGCAATACGTATTTAGAGGAGTTCTTCAAGACACCGGAACTTTTCTGCAGGTTAGTTAGTTGAACTGATCGAAGCAAGATTAAAGTTCGTCCAAATAAGCTATCGAAAAGACGTTGAGATTGGAATGGAAAACAAAATTTGTTTCATCCAGGGTTCTGTGGAATATTGCATTGTCGGTGTAAGACTCATGACTGCGATTACGAGTGAAATGAATCAACTGAGGGAATCAGAGGTTACGCGGTCCGTCACGAAGCATCGGAAGATCGCCGCTTCATTTCGTGATACACACTTGCACGACATTTTCAATCTCTCCTGCACATTGTTACGAACAGCTTTGGGTAACTCGAAAAACATGGATTTCAATGAAGAAAAGCATGTATGTGGCAGCCGTAAAATTTGGATGTGGAACTTAATGAATGACTGTGGCTATTATTTTTAGCATTCTCTCATGAAGCATCTCCTGAAGCTGACGCTTCACTGTCTCACGTTCGACTTCATTGGAACGTCGATCGATGAGAGCTCTGATGATATGCTCACTGTGCAAATTCCCACTTCTTGGCGGCCCACCTTCCTGGACCCAGCGACTTTGCAATTATTTTTTGATCTTTACGCTGCTTTACCGAGTTCACTTTCTCCCTTGGCATTGTCATGCATCGTGCAGCTTGCTTCCGTTCGTCGATCACTGATGAGCAATGCTGAGCGTGCCAAATTCTTGAACCACATGGTCAGCGGAGTAAGGAACATCTTGCAGACTCTCTGCGTGAGTGAATTCGAATATCAGTCGTCCCGTTCATAATATGAGGGTTTGGTTTTATTTTCGTGGTTTTAAAGAAACTGTTCGCTGTACAGTGATATTTTACCATGTTTCTCGAAAAAAATGGCCTATAAATCGGTTGAGAAAGCCGTAGTACTGTACTTCCAACATCAGTAAATCTTCGAGAGAAAAATCCCTCCCAAGAAGATCACCTTGCCTGCGTGCAGGTCTTCAAAAACTGTTACCCTTAAGTGGAAAATGAAGCTTCAAAAATATTGAATCGCTTTCAAACTTCTTTCTTTGGTGATATGATTTCGTAAACCTATGTTACTCACTTCTGAAACAATCGATACGAAGTCAGATTGCAATTCAAGACCTTTCAGTTGCATGAATCGAATGCCGCTCGCTAGATTACGATAAGAGCTTTCTTCTAATGCTGGAAAAGCTCACCAGTCAAGGAAAATTTCACCTCGGGCTTCATCATTTTTGTTGATTGTTTGCGGGAAACCCGCCGAAAAATTTTGATGACCGTGATTTTGTACATTAATTATTATTTTTTATTTTTTGGTGCAGGGCATGTCCGATCAAGCGAACTATCACGAATTCTGTCGCCTCCTTGCAAGATTGAAGTCCAACTATCAACTTGGTGAACTGGTTGTTGTGGATAACTATCCGGAATTCATCGAGTCAATCGCGAAGTTCACCATTCAAAGTCTTCAAGTGAGTTGATCGGCCTGAGCGTCCGATTTGACGTCTATCTTTGAATGTTGCAGATATAGAATAAGTTTCCTCCTATGATTATTTACAGTTATGGCAGTTCGCACCCAACAGTGTTCACTACCTGCTCAGCTTGTGGCAGAAAATGGTCGCCTCTGTACCTTACGTGAAAGCAACTGAGCCGCATCTGTTGGAAGTTTATACACCGGAGGTTACCCAAGCTTTCATCAAATCGCGGATCGAGTCTGTTCCCGTGATCATGAAGTGAGTTCAACGTGATCATGATTGTCTGATCAAATAAATCTGCGATCCTCAGGGTTAGGTTTTTTTTTTTTTTTTGTGAAGCACTGAACATGATGGATCGACTTATTGTGGTTCGTTCTAGATTTTAAACGGTTGTTTCAAGCTTGATTAAACTGCAATAAAAAGCCACTGTTGAATAACGTTCAAGAGAAAGAGCATGCGAAAATTGCTTGTTGAGAATTAAATTTTTCTTTTACTGTTTCGCAGAAGTGAATAAGGTGACGTCAATAAGGTACGAGAGAAAAATAGAATTTTACCGAGTCTTTGAATAATTTGTAAGCTATTTTCTAAAATCAAGATGAACGTAAATGTTATCTCCAAAATTGGAGGTATTTAGAAATGCAAAGTTTCATTCTATGAAGAGGCCAAATTTTTGGGGAAAAAGACTTAACTACTGAAATTCTGTTGGGTGGGCAGATGAGTACGATCATTTTAACGATATTGACTGTAACTTTGTTCATCGTGAAATAATGCTCTGGCATCCCCTGTGCAGAGTTCTTGTACTGTAAGCACTCGTTCGAGTTGTTCCCGAGATGGTCCGATCTTAGCATCCTATTTTGTCTTGCCTTGCATATTTCGAGTTCAGCACGTTAAAATTCGATTTCATCTCTAAGGGATGGATTGGAAGAGCCCCTGGACGACCCTGGGCCAATTGAAGGACAGCTGGAGCAAATATCCACGATCGCCCGTTTGGATTACGGGAAGACTTGTACACTTTTAGTGCAATTATTCGATCAGACAGCGGGGGAGTATGAATCTGCTGCGTCGATTGTTCTGCGATCTGCGCCTGACTCCACTGCTGCAGTAGCTGCTAAGAAGGAAATCTCTGTTAAAGAACGACAGTTGACCTGGTTGGTTTATGTGATTGGCGCAGCGATTGGAGGTCGCATGTCATTCAGTACGAATGACGAACATGACAGTATGGACGGAGAACTCGTGTGCCGGTATGTTCATTTTTCGAAGATTTTCAGAATTTTCGGAAAATTCAATTCACGGAGACATGATTTAGAGTTCAGAATTTCAGCGTTTTTTTTTCTTCTTTTAACCCGTAGAGCAGATTTGCGATGAATTTCATTCGATGTAGACGGAAGAAACTCATCTGGGCAAAGATGTTTATGGGGAATTCCTTTCAGCCTAATAAATTGCATGCAAACGACGGGCTACAAATATAACATGTAGATATCATATGTACAGTTCGTCGAGGACACGCGATTTCTTCCCGGTTGATTGCAGTCACAACTAGTATATCTTGAAATTCATTACAATTTTGTTTCTGGAGCCCCTGAGGAGTTCACGAAGAGTTCGTAAGGCTTAAAAGAGCACAGGTTTATAACGTGAGATTCAGAAAATGTAATCCAAGTCGTGTGGTTTTTGATTCTGGCTGGTAAGATTTTTTCAACTGAGATACTTCGAAAGTCCATCATGCACTGCGAGTCATCTATCGAACCATTTCATTGTTTCTTATAGGGTTTTGCAGCTGATGCGATTGAGCGATTCACGCCTACCTGAAGGCTCCATGCGTTTGGAACTAGCTATTTTATCATTCATGGAACAGTTCCGAAAAATCTATGTCGGTGATCAGGTTGGTAGATCTTGGATAGTTCGCAAGTGGATTTTGGCGCTGCGAAAATGATGCGACGTACAGTATTCTAAAAATTCCATCTCTTTCAGGTTCAAAAAACGTCCAAGGTTTACAGAAGGTTATCTGAAACACTGCGCCTGAACGATGAATCTATGGTTCTTTCTGTGTTCATCAGAAAAATGTGAGTTTTTTTTTCTGAGGTTCTTTTTAATATGGCTTTTCATCATGCCAAGGAGCTGTCCCTGAAATCACCTAGTGATAAATAATCTATTCGAAGCTAAACGAACGAAAGCACTCATCCTTGAAGACCCTACCGTAACTTGGACGTGAAAAATTGTAATTATATTCATTTAACAGCCAAGTAATGGCGAAGAAATGCGCGAGACGTAAGAGATGTTGAATTCAGCAGTATTTTTCGCGTTAGTGTTTGCAAATTTTGGCTTCGTATCTTGCTGAACTTCGCGAATGAAAGATGGTTGAATATAATTCCCTTGCTTCACGAATTTAAAACTTCGGAAATATGAAAATTGTGAGGAAATCGGGTTCGTTGCGTTGCAGAATCACGAATTTGAGGTATTGGAGTACGTGCGAGAACATAGTGCGTGCCACGCTTAGTCTCTTGTCGGACCTATCAGTCGGGTACAGTTCAGTGAGACGCCTCGTGAGGCTTGAAGAAGTCGGATTTTTGCTCGCCAATCACACCCCTGCGCATTTCCCTTTTCTTGGGACGAGTCCGGATCTTCCGCCCTCCCAATTGCGCCCGAGGACTACATTTTACACAGCTCTGGGTCGTTTGTTATTGGTGGACCTGGGCGAGGATGAAGACAAATTTGAGCAGTTCATGCTGCCACTGACTAGTAAGTTGGGAATTATTTTTTCGCGTCCCTCAATTCAATTCGTGTATTTTACTCTTCTTGTATGGAATGAATGGCTAAAATCGTGATTTCTTAGTAAAATTGAGTTCAGCGCCGCTGTGGTAGCCATATACAGTACAGTAAATACTGTATTTGTGTGCTTGGTGCTTATCTTCATTTGTCACTTCTTGTTTTTGTCAAACACCGAGCATTAAAACTCGAGTTTCCGATCTTCGATTAACCCAACCCAAATTTCGTTTCATCTAAGGTAATCAAATTGCCCTTTCGAATTTTAGTTCGCGTCGTTTGATTTATTCTCTCAACCTGATCTCGACTATGAACCTCGAGATTTTGCTGAATTGAATTAAGAAGTGACATTTTTCTCCGTACTGACTAATTTATTTTCACTAATGAGCTTCGAGATTTGAAGGAAAGTTGGGATTATCACTAGGATTAATGTACCTCGGGGAAAAATTTTCTCTTCAATAAAGTGGCCCCGTTTTTTATTGAATGATTTGAATGTGCGGTGCATCTTCATTTCTTTTTGGTTTCCCAAGCAGTGCATCGAAGAGCTTTCGAGTCGTTTGAACTTTTCATGTTTTCCTAGGTGCAATGGAGGAATTGTCGAAAATCATGTTAGAAACTAGTATTGTTCGGTCGAATGAAGAAATGGAAGGAGCCAAGAAAGCCCTGATTGGATTCGCTCGGGATCTCCGCGGCATTGCATTTGCGTTCAATTCAAAACCCAGCTATGCAATGCTTTTCGATTGGTTCTATCCGGAATATTCTGCGGTAATGTTGAAGGCGTTAGAGATCTGGTACATGGAGCCAAGTGTAACTACCCCGATTCTGAAGCTATACGGGGAATTGGTGCAAAATCGATCCCAGCGATTACACTTCGAGGTGTCGAGTCCTAATGGGACCTTGTTGTTTCGAGAAGCTTCTAAGGCAATCTGCACCTACGGTAAGAATTTGCGTTTTGATTTAATTGATTCCGAGCATTACTGACTGCTTTTTAATATGTTTACTCGTCTAATGATCTATTTAATTTCTAGTCCGCTTGAAACAAATTTAAACCAGTGAAACGTCGAGAAAATATTTTGGAGGCTCGATGCAACGTGTGATCAATATTTTCGCAGGTGAAAGAATCCTTACCGTTCAGGATGTGCCAAAGGATCAGGAGTATCAATTGAGACTGAAAGGAATGTCCATATGCTTTTCGCTGCTGAAGAATTCCATGTGTGGCAGCTACGTTAATTTTGGAGTTTTCCGGCTGTATGGCGATGCTGCATTGGAAAACGTGCTCTCTATTTTCATCAAGATGTTGCTATCGATTCCCAGTTCAGAGCTTTTGGTAAGTCTTTTTTCATCGTCTTCTAAGCATTGAACGGCTTTCGTTTTCTTTCTCGATTTGTTTTCCAACGAAACTATTTCAATTTCTGAACGCAGAATAATCCAGTTTCGTTTGCTCCAGCTCGAAGGATGAAATTTTCAAAATTTGTTTGAATTGTGCTGATGAAATTCCGCTAAGTGCTATGCAAAATTATTGAACTTTCTTTTTTTCGCAGGAATACCCGAAATTGAGTCAAACTTATTTTGTGCTACTGGATTGCCTGGCTCAAGATCACATGAGCTTCCTGTCGATGATGGATACGAATGTTTTCATGTATTTGTTGAGCACCATTTCCGACGGCCTTTCTGCTCTTGGTAAGTTAAAAACGATGTATTCCTTACTTCCCTTCCTGGTGTGTTCCGAAAAGGTCTCCGTTGGCGAAAAATCAAATATCTTGAATTACTTCTGCAATCATTTTCTTTTTAATGAAATCCCAGGTGGGATACGAACTCCCGGTTCTCGAAGTTCAAACATTTCTCAGGATTTGGAACCTATCAGAATTGAGGAATAAAAATGTTATTTTTACTTCAGTCTTTGAAATAATGAACAGTATGCTTTTTTGTTGTTGACCGTAGTATTTAGGCGTCTACTCAATTTCAAAATTACGTAATTTTTAAATCGTGCTTTCGTTAATTCAGTTAACACGAAGGTTGAGCTTCATGTTAACGGAATTTACTCCGGATTCCCTAGTAATTTTATAATTTTTTCATTCATCGCGAAATTTTTAGCTGAAGTTTTTTGGTGTTCGACCGCCATGAATTCATGAGAATGAAAAATCTAGTGGCCACCTTTTCATGTATCTCCACTTAGACACTATGGTGTGTACGTCTTGCTGTTCTGCCCTGGACAACATCATAACATATTTCTACAAGCAAGCCGCTTCTAAGGGAAAAGCAAAGAAACGGCGGTTGTCCGGTGTGGAAGACGAGTCTCCTGTGCTGAAAATGGTGAAGATGAATCCAGCCGTTTTCCAAACCATGTTGCAAACTGTGCTCAACATCCTCATGTTCGAGGAATGCAGGAACCAGTGGTCCATGTCCAGGCCACTTCTGGGTCTCATTTTATTGAATGAATCCGTTAGTATGCTCTTGAAATTTTGCAGACTTTTCGGAATTCCTGGTTTGACATTGATCAAGAGGCGTGAGACTAACAGTCTCTGGTTTCCTCGCGAAGTCACTGGGAAATTTTCTCAAATTCCTATGGAAATTACTTGATGAAATACTAGTACGTTTTCTGAAGTGATCATTGCAGGCGTCGGGGATAATTTCTTATCATACATTCTCTTCCTGACCGAGACATAAATCCAGTAAATTTGACAATCTAAAGGAGTCCGATCAGTAAAAGTAATAATTGCATGCATGTTCCTAATTTTTACCTTAAAAAATGCATCAGCGAAACGTAGAGTAAAAGTTGTTGACGAATATAGAGGATGAACCGAAATTATCCTTAAACTTCATCTGATTATTTCAAAACTCTCGTCTCTCGAGTATTATATTAATGAATTGACTTCACGCGGAAACCAGAAAGTTCTTGATCTGCATGCCCTTGGTGATTTGAGATTCATGTCCCAGGTGTACAGTATTCAACATTTTGAGTTGATTTTTGAACCGCTTTTTCAATTCACAGTATTTTGCCGAATTGAGATCTGAGATTATCGGTAATCAACCAGTCGAGCGACAAGCTATGCTCTCGACGTGTTTCGATAATCTGATGGATGGCGTTGAACGAAATCTGCTCACGAAAAACCGAGACAGGTTAGTTGTCTTCCGCGGAATTTCGCAAGCATATGAATCACTGATCTTTGGCGTGCAAATGCTGAATTTATTCGAGATTGAGCTACGCATTATTTTACGGTATTGGAAATATTTCTCAAGTCTCACTATGCTGAATTGTATCTTTCTCTCGTATGCACCTCTGTGTATTCTTATTAACTTTGTACTGAACCTTTAGAACATATGGAGAGAACCCTATGCGACCTAAAAAAAATTTTGATACGGAAAATTTCGTTTTAGAAAGTCCATCTGTTGAAAATGAAGACTGCCCGACATTAGATAACTCGCGAATTTCCAGCTCTTGAAGTCGAAAGCTCGCAATGGTTTTTCATTTTTACTGCTAAAGTTTAGCTTATTCCCTGGCGTCGCGTCAAAATACAGTACTTCCTTTAGTACGAGGAATCATTCGAAAATGTTGATGTTTCGTTTTCTTCATCCAGGTTCACCCAGAATTTATCCGTTTTTCGCCGGGATATTAACGACTCCTTGAAGACTGCTGATGACCGAGGTGTTGCCGAAGGACGAGCGGATTCGTCAGAAATGATGACCCTATAAGAATCCGGCAACTTTCTTTTACTACCGTTTTTATGAAAGTTTTTTTTTAACTCTTGAAAATTTTCGCTGCAAGAAAAATGGGCGGAAATGATCGCATTCTAACTGATAAAGTGGGCTTTTTATTATAACGGAAGTCAAGTGTTCCCGTTTTACTACAGGTTTGGGTGGAGAATTATTGGACCAATGAGCGAGGTTGCTTAATTGATTGGATAATTTTGTTACTCGGCTGAGTCTGCCATGTAAAATCAAATTATTAAATTCTGCTTGAAGTGGTGCGTGTTGCAGTCACCTCATCAACTTGAAAAACGTCGGCGTTGTTTTTTTTTGTTGACGAATTTATATGCTGTATTTGCAGTGACAGATGCGGTAATGTAACTAATTCAGAGCCACCTCAAGTGTGAAAAACGAATCGATACACTGTTCAGGGGTTTAGTTCGGCTTTTAACAAATTCTTCCGTCCCAAAATCTGTAAAATAATATTCCAACTGAAATTTCGTTGAAGTTCGAGAGTAGGATTACGATACCTGATTTTCGGAGCCTCGCAGAAAGAAATCAGCAAATTTAAATTGCTTGTTTAGCATATTTCTGATCAATACGCTTCTTAGCACCGCGATTTTGAACAGTCCTTTTACAGCGTTCATTTACTAGAACCGACGTCCCTGTTCTTGAGTAAATCCGAACGGTTGAAGCGAGGTGAATGATGAGATGGGGAACGGATTTAAGGTGAAATGGTCTGTGATTTGTTGGGCTGGCTGTGGGTGCCGAAGTTTATCTTGAAAGGAGAATTTCGAAGTCATGTTTTCGTTAGAGGAACCTTTTTTTCTGGCGTTTCCTCTGCGTTCTTGTTATTATTTTTTTTAATATATACCTATATCCCGAAGAGGCATTCGTCGGCAACCAGAACTCACAGCTAGCTTCAGAGAAATTTCCTTACGCGTGAAAGAAGTTCCAGGCATGTTTTCTTACTTAGTGGGTTACCTTTTCTATCGTACACGTAAAATTTTCAAGCCATGCGCATCGCATTGAATTTTACAGTAAGAATTCTTTCAAGGGTTCCAAGATCCGCGAGAAATACACAGTAAGTAGGTCTAAAACTTTTGATTTTGCGCATCAAGTGCATTATGTATTTCGGAGAAGCAGATCATCTTTACCGATTTTTCGATGACGAATGAAATCTCGAGGTACTAGATTGTAGATAGTGATGTCCGGGCTGGCATGCAATAGGATGACTTCTCAATTTCTCATTTGGGCCTGTTTGAACTTTGTGGGCGAGCAATCATTGTTTGGAAGCAGTATTGTGTATAAATTTGAATGAATGCATTCTTCCGACGGGAAGTTTATTTGATTGCTTTGAATGTCTCTCGTGATGTCTTCTGGAATTTTTCCTCTTGATATTTTTTTTCTATCAAAAGATGCAGCAAGGGAGGGAATCATTTGTAGATGTATTGATGCTTCTTGTCTCCCAAGTAATCGACGTATTTTGTATTAGCTTTTTGTCCATTCGAGGAATAAAAGCTGCTGAAAAACGTGGTGATTGCTCCATTGCTCTAGAGAAATTGCATTCGATTCACGATATACTTCGTATTTCAACAGCCCTGGAAAGAAAACCCTGTGTGTTCGTGCCATAATCTGACTCGTCTTTGATCCGGGAACTTCCGAGTGTTGACCCATTGAAGTTGGAAGAAATTATTCCAAGGCTCCCGAATGCAGTATTTCCAGTCGGGATTCGATGATGTCCCGAATGGTGGAAAATGATAAAATTACAAGGCGTTGGTGTTCGTCGTATGCTTTATCAGCTTTGAAGGAACAATTTCATTTAAATGTAATTTTTGGCATTTACCGAGGTGCCCTAAACTAAAAATCGAATTTCAGTTGAGCTGTTTTTCATTTCTGATCATGTGTTGTTCCGGACAGAAATACTGCAGTATTCTTGCGGAAAAATTGAGAACATCTTATTGCAACGGTGTGTGCGGGATGAATCGAATGATTTTCGCTACGAATACCCATTTTTTTCCTCGTCGATTAAGAATTCTGAAGTTCGAACTTCGCTGTACTGTACACTTCTTACTGTATTTCTTGTAGTAATGCGAATCTTGAAAGCCATTCACATTCCAAAATACAATTGATATGATCCTAAATTTGCTCACTGAGGCTTATTTCAAGATCGAACAAACCTAACCTGAAAGCAACAACTGTTATATTATTTCCAATAACTGAAAGCTTAGAGTAAACGAATATCATCTGATTCGGAATGTGAAATACTTATAATTTCTTGCAGAATTATCCACCCAACAGATAGGAAGGCATGCTTGTGTGAATGTCGAAAATTTATTTATGAACGTAAGTTGAGCTCTTCGAGAATTGCAGAAGTAGCACATCGGAAGCTCGAAACAAGAAAGAACCGAAGTTCAGTACTGTACTAGGTTCGGACCCATGAAGGTTGCAGACCTGTCACAACGACAAGCAACATCTTGAAATTCGGCGAGCGGGTTTGTACGCCGATATTCTGCACGTGAATATGCGTTCTTTACGAAATCTGGCGATGTTTCAAAGCCCATCTGAAATCGAAAATATCATCGGATCATTGCTGCCGCTGTGGAACTCACGATCCAAGCCTCGCCTAAAACGGTTCAAGAACCCTGGTGACAAGACGGCAGAAAAATGGTTGAAAAGAAGAAACCCGATGATCTGCCGCCCAGAAAGCTCCACAGGTTACTAACCAATCTTCAGAACTCCGTCGCATGACTCTTCTGGCAAATTTCGACGACTTTCCACGTGTTTAACCTCTCTTATTCTTATGTTTTTGAAGAAAATGGATGAGGGACTTCGGAGCCATGTCCTCCCGGAAAGTTATTGATCTAAAATGTCCTCGCTTTTTGGTCGCCGTCGCCAACATGTGACCTTCGAAGGCACTAAGAAGGACTCCTCCTCGGAGACCATGAGAATGGACGTCGTGGTAGGTGAAGACAGGGTGCCAAAGCAAGCCAGACCCAGAAGTAACAGAGTGTATTACACGACGAAGCCATCGAACGAAACTTACAGCACCGACGATGTCATTGTCGACGTGAGACCGAGGAATGACCAGTTGGCAGTGTCGGGATCCAGTAACAGGAAGCACAGGAACCCGTTGGAAAGGAACAAGCTGCATCTGCAATTGTGCGACTTGGCTTTGAACTTGGAGAAAATGTGCAGTGGGGCGAATAGTGTAAGGGCTTCTGGAAGTGGTCTCAATTCAGGAGATGCTTCTTTGCAAAGTTTGAGGGATGACCGTCCTGCGAGACGATTGGAAATTGATAGAGCTGCAAGGTCTCATGTGAGTCATTATTTTTTTTTTTACTGTACGATTTTTATGCTAAATTTGTTGAAAAATTCTTCTGCGAGAGAAAACATTTGTTTTGCGTCAGCTAGATGGCCTCTGTGTTGCGGTAGTTTCTTGGAGTGCAAGTATGGCAACAATGTTTCTTGAAGGAATTGTGATTCCTTTTGTGCAGAACTGGAAACAATGTTTCTTAAATGAATGGTGATCACAGAACTGAAAAGAGTTTGCACAAAAGGAAATGTCTGAAAGACGAATCCGTACATTTGAGAAAATATTATCGAATACTGTACGTATTTCTCTGAAAAAATGAAGCATCTGATCATAATTGACCCCTGGATTTAATGCTCCGCTTTTCTAACAGAATACAATTAGGAATTACTGTGCATTAACAAACTTGGGAACCATTTTTCTAATCGACAACCTTTGATTAAAAAATTGACTGTTCGTTTGATTTTTGAGGCGTCAACTGATCATATTACGCTGCGGTTCATATACAAGATCTGATGCCAAAGATCCTGAAGCAGTACAGTACTTAGTTGGAAGGAGGAGAAGGATTCTACTCAAATGTTAAGATCAACTATATAAGCATCAGATTTAAAAAAATGGAGCTCTGGAGCAGCGCCATATTTTCTTCATCTTGCCTCCAAGTCCAATTTACATTGGTGAAATAATTACTTGAAGATGAATACTGTAACTACCAAAATGTATGACCATTAAGTTTAGCGCTAGGCAAATCTGAACTGATCAGATTAGTGTGAGTGTATTTTTTACCATGAACGAAGCATCTGCAGCGATTGGGATATTGTAGCAATTTTTCAATCGAACAAGCTGATGAAAAATGCTAAATTTCACGAATGGAATTTAAATATACTTCATGAGTTAGGAGTTACAGTATTTACAATGCAATTGCCTCCTTTCAAGAATGGTCCTTCAAACTACCATACGAAAAAAATCTCTTTTTGAGCCTTTCAATGGAAGAAATTCCTCTTCATCAGTTTTTAAATATTTTTGAAATGCAGAAACAAGGTTAGAATAATGCATCGCAACATCTTATCAATTTACCAGCATAAGAAATTTAGGAATTTATATCTAGGAAATGTAAGAAGCGTTGAAAATAAGTAAGTCAATTTTCTTAAAGCGTCACCTCAAATAATTATTAAAATTAATGAGCTCACTAAGTTTTACATAGTGAAGGGATTATTTTTTTCGATTGCGAATTCCTTGCATCTGTGATGCTGTTGGGGACGTCTTCACTTCTTACTTTGTGAGATGCAGTATAGTCATCTTCCCTACTTTGTCTGAATGACAGTGATGATCTACGCAGGGAGATATTTCCCCCCAGCTTCATTGTCCCGCATCTGTTGAGCATGATTAGATTTTGATGCGCGAGGAATTTTCCCACAGAATTATTCTCTGAAGGTCTTACAGTATTATGGCTTATGGGTATCATGAAAAGTGTCCTGAGAAAGTATTTAGTCAGTGTTTGCCTTCTGCGCTGCTGCGCCTTTTTCAGTGAAAATGGAATTTTCATGCTGTTTTTTCTTTTTTTAATGTACGTGCCACGCATGTACAGTACGATCATTTTTAACGAATTTGGTGACTAACTTGAGCTCGATTTTAAATCATCATGTTGCTTCAAAAGAAAGTTGACCTCAAAATGCATTTGAGATATTTCCCATCCAAATCTATTTCAATGGATTGCTTGAATTGATTGTTTTTCTTCAAATAAGTTATTCGAAAAGCAACTGTCCTCTCTGCACAAATGAACGAATCTTTTATCTTGTTCAATTATTTTCTATTGGAATAAATTCTTCGATTTTCAAGCGATTTCAATTGGACCGGAACTACGCTGAAATGTTGGAAACTGAAATACATTTTATGTTGAGAAATTTAACGTATACAAACTCACCTTTTCTCTCTTCAAAGAGTACACCTTTCATTCTCGAAGTTTTTGCATGTTCATGTTTTTCCGAATAACTTCCGTGGAAGTATTCTAGCTTTCTGACATTTTCCATTTAATTTTTAATATTTGGATAATTGTCAGCTCGATCGGAATTGAAGTTTGAGGAAACGTTCTTTATGACAAGGGAATTTCATTGAAGAGTTACTAACAGAGCTTCGAGTGATACCGTGAATCCCTCCTGTCGGAGTTATGTATTTAACGCGTTGATCACTCTTCTATGAACCTTATCGCAGGACGTTGTCTTAAAACAGCCGAAGCAAGCGTCTTCCAGGCCACAATTACAGAAAAAACCCGCTGTTACGCAGGAAGAAATACCGCTGCAATTTTGCGCCACCCTCAACGCTCGATACAACAAAGACACGAACAAAAGACGCAAGTTTGCGATTATGGAGCCCGAAAAACTCTTCGTTCACGACCCTGCGACAAATTCCTCAGAAAAGCGCGTGGTGACGTCAATCATGAAAAAGGACCGAGTTTTCGCAGCAATGTGCGATGAGAACGACAAGGATGTTAGTGATGAGACAAAGACGAATGGATCCGAGTCTTCGAATCCAACCACGATGCCCGACTTGCCATCTGTCTGCGATGACACCAGGTAAATCCAGGAATAAGAACAAGAGAACATGCATGGAAAATATTTAGGAATAATTTCGTAACTATTTTGCATGCACCGCGTATGTCTGCTTGACCGAAGTACAGTACCATACTAGGGTTGGACGCGAGCTATGATATTTTTATGCTAGGTGCGATTGTGAAAATGAAATCGTGACATAGCCGATGATGTTCTAAGGTTTTGGTATTTTTTTCGACAACTTTTCGATTTACTGCATGATCGTAATAAGTGAAAACATTCCAGCTACAGCCGGAGCTCTCCACTCATGTTCACAGTGTGCTAAAACAAAATTTCAGGATAGATAAAAAACTGAATTTCTTTCATTCTACCCATTATCTTTTCTAAATTTTAGGTAATGGTTAAAAACGAAAATTAAATTCCAAACCTAAATGTAGCAAAGATAATGGTAGAATGAAATAAAATGTCAATTTTTAGCGGGCCTGGCAAATTTTTAGCACCCTGTGACATGGGCGGAGAACTTTGGCTGAAACTGGCATGTTTCCTTTTATCATCGTGCAGTAAATTTAAAAAAATAGAAATACCCGAAAAAATCCCAGAACCTGAGAACATTATGACCAGATCTTATAAGAACCAAATATAAGAAATGACAGCAGCAGATTAATCAATTACTGATACAGTATTTCCAGACTTATTAAAATCCCTTTTAATAACCGTCCAGTATTTAAAAAAAAAAAATATCTGCAAAAACATCAGATTTTCCCCAAACCATAGGTGTATCCCTTTTAATAACCGTCCAGTATTTTGAAAAAAATATATCTGCAAAAACAACAGATTTTCCCCAAACCATAGGTGTTGTTCTTTGTGTGAAATGATACTCTCAATCTCAGTGATAACAGTGCAAATTGAGGGGGGTTACAATAAGTACCTCTGGACGCACTGTACTTATTTGGGCTCCCTCTTCCGTGATCCAAGTCTTGGAATTTTTCATTCTTGAGCTTATTTTTGTGCCGAAGAATTTTTAAAATTTTGAATTTACAATTCATCTGAAATTTGTTGTTCTGGGATTATTTTCTCATGTGTCTAGATCTCCCGGCTTGAGAAGGCGGGAAACGAGGAATGCTGCCCGAGACAGAAGCAGGCGATCGTCAGCTGTTGAAGGAGTACCAAAAATAAATCCGATCCCGGAAATTAAGTCGAAATGGTTGCCGATCATGTCTATAGTAGCACTGGTTGCCCTAGGGACAGTTTGGCGTTTACCGCAAATCTTTCAAACCCTGGCTGACCCGACTGGCATGATGGCCACTGGTCGTTTGGTTCACGATTTGAGCCTTGAATTCCCTACCCAGGAACCATCCATGTGGTTGACTCTGAAGCACGGGTTGCACACCAAGGGTGACAAGAACATCCCACATTTGCTCTTGGTCACTTCAGTTGCTGAGGGCATGGAGACCGCAGCTTGTTTGGTGTCTAGGCTTGCGAGGTTTGTTCTAATATTTTTGGACATGTGAAAGGAGCAGGATTGATTATGACGATGATGTGATAAATTCATGATCAATGATCGCGACAGGACTTAATCAGCAGCGAACCTTAGTAATTGTTTTATGGGAAAAAACTACTGTTTATACAGCCATACATCGTTGTGAGCTAGCATACTGCATCATCTGAAATCATGTCTAGAAAAAAAAAAAGAATAAAGCTGCGGTATACCGATTCACGATTCTCATTTCCTTCAGGGAAAACTTCTGGAAATAAGATCATCTCTCACAGGGCCTTTGTTCGAGAGACGTTTAAAATTTATTGCACTTCAAAATGATTTGCCGGGTCCGGTTGGTTGAAGAGTACTATACTGTATACCACCACTATACGTGCATTGCAAATGTTTTCAAACAAAATACTGTGATGAGTCATCAACAGTATCATCTATCTAAAGATATTTGACAACATAATTGCGGTTTGAGTTCATGTCAATGTTTTTGTGCACTAAAATCGTGTTACTGCGACAAAATCATCTGGGGGACCTGAACAAACCCTTTGTTATGAATGTTTTTATAAATGGTACTCACATAACGTGGTGGCCATGATGTAACAATGAATTTGTTCTGAGCAAAAATTAGCTGCTCGTTAGTGAGATTTAAATGAGTGTAATCTGGTTACAATAAAGCAATTGCGACCTGAACGCATAGATGAGAAGCCTTTGTTTCAATTAAAATTTGTTATAACGAGACTTCAAGTACAGTACTGTAATATCTGTGCTGCACTTCTGTGACCTTGGGACTTGATGAATTCTAAGTAAAAACCACAAGATTGTGACAAGATTCTACCGTAGTTGATGAATTTCGTTTTGGAAGAGTAGTTCTATTTAAAAATATCATTGTTGCTTTGGTGATGTCTTGTGTCCAAAATTCATTAATCATCAAGCAATCAGAATAAATACACTTTTTGAAATATTTCTCGTGGATGTAAGCTTTGAAGCTCAATATTGACAGAAAATATATTGTCGGAAATAGGTTCCCAGCTCAATCTACCTAAATTAGAACAATAATTTTGTAGTAAATACAGTACAGTATTAAAATTTCAGATATGTGAAGGAACTGCATGGGGACAGACGCGTGCATATCTTGGACCTGGACACCCTGGATGCTATTGCTGACACTCAACATTTGCATGTTCCACTGTTTTTCCACTTTTCTTTGGAAAGGGATCATTCGGTGGTCCTTTTGAATGCTCAGAACCTGAAAGCTGCCGGGGCGACACAACTCAACCCATTTTTAAGCCAGGGTGCCACTTATAAGTACCCTGCCATGGCCTTTTTTGTGGCTAAATTGGACAGTAATTTATCCGAAAGCAGGTGAATGTGTTACTTTATTGAAACCGGTTAATTTATTTCCTGTTCTATGCCGCTGGACGTTGCGTACCGGTATTCAATGAGATTGTATTTTAGTATCTACCGCTGTTGATATTTCGTAATGCTCAATTGTTGCAAAGAAGGAGCGAATTTTTTTTTCAAATTTGAAAGCTCGAGGTAGATTAGGAATTATTCAGACTTTTCTCAGCTTTTAAATGGCTGAACCTTAGTACCTGACTTACTGTTTTCATGAGGTGAAAAACATACGCATTACAGAGAAAAAAATATTTAGCGATTGAATGTACCTGGATTCTCACCAGTACACCTTGTCAATTATCATTTTTCGGTGGGCAGCAGAAAACACTATTTTACCTGGTTTAACTGGACTGATGTAAATTTATTTAAAAATTTGATGAGTTCAGGTTGAAAAAGAAAAGTATGCATACGAATTTCCTGGATGGTTAAAGCAATCACCTGCAAAAGTTCAAGATAAAATTTCCTGGATGGTTAAATAAGCAATCACCTGAAAAAGTTCAAGATATTAGTTCGTGCAGCCTTCTTTAGATTTAATATTACATGGTTTTAGTTCCGTTGGTAATGCATTATAACCAGTATTTTATGTGTACTGTATATAATAATTATGAGAAGAAAATTGATTTTTAATGGGTATATCTTGAAACTTGAGAAACTTACCAGCAGATGACAAGGTTTCGACTTCAATGTGCGAGATAATAGAAATATGCCGTGATGAACGATTAATTAATTTATTTATTTTGAATTGTATTGATTTATTTTATGTTGCGCTATTTTTTGATTAATTAGTGATCGAAATATGAATGCACTGTATTTTACGAAATTGTTTCGGGCAGGTTGGGAATGGATGAAACCGTTGCGAAGGCGTTGTTAGGAAAAGCCTGGGTTGCCAATGGCTGGGAAGAGGCCAGTGTTCGAGACATGCTGAGCAGGACAAGAAGCACGACTGTGTTCGTCGTACCTGAACACAAAACGCCGTGTTCCTCGGGAACAGTGAGCTTCAATTGATAGCGGTTTTATGTTACTGTTTGTTGGTTGCCCCCGTGATGTGTCCTCCCGTTTTTGGCATACTCAATACTGGAATGCGTTTTATATTTTGTTCCCCTCATGCTTGGTCATCAAGTGTTGCCGATTGCATGTTTTCAATTTGTCTTCATTTTTGAGAAATCAAGACTCTCCTCGTTGTTTTGTTCTTTAATTGATGCGAACGATTGTGTGCTCTTTTCAGTTCCGTTTCGAATGCCGCAGCTCGTTGAAATCTGGAAAATTCCTTAGAAATTTCTTTTTGTTGTGTCACGACGTAGATCTTTTAAGCATGTGGCCTGTTCCTGTAACTTTTGATATCCCGTCTGTATATATAAATTTATGTTTTTCCAAAATGCGCCAGTCATAATTCCGAACTAAGCCTGAAAATCTCATTGTCTGAAGATTACTGTATTTTTATTGAAAATAAATTCTTTTTCGATTTTTCGTGTAGTTCCTGTACATTTTTCTGGAGATTGTGTGGTACATATTTGGAAAAGAAACGCCTAGCGTAAAGAACTCGGACAGGATCTTCCCATTTCCTTTTTGGCCAGTAAACCGTTCTTAAAAGGATAAATATTGCATAATTTTTTTTTTTTATTGTGGTGCAGGACGTCAGAGTAAAAAAAAATTCAACAAAAGAGCGCTTTGCAGAAGGGCCTGCTGCAAAGGCCAAAATCTGCTTTGCAAAAGAGAATGATTATCACAGTATTTTCATTTATTTATCAACTTTGAATTGTCACGGAAGAAACTGTTCCACAGACAGGAAAGTATATTGTATATACCGTAATCTGTGTGCAAAGCGTAAAATTTATTTAAAAAATGATATCCAGAACAAGCGAATCACTTCAACTCCAGAATAAAATTAGGTGTTTCTTTTAATTTTATTTATTCGATTTTTTGCTTTTTATTCGATTTACTGTACTTTCAGAGAAAAGTGAACGAATTAAATCTTTTGAGTAGGCTTCTGAGCTGTATCTTGCAGAAAAACGGTCAATAGGTATATGGAACAAATTAAAACCGTTCTGCGGGCTTTACCTTCAATCGTGTAATCATGTAGATTATTGTTTTACGTATTCCTCTGGCTATTTTATCATACGTTTTTTTACACATCCATGCAATAATTTTGTCTTCTGCAATTTATGTTGAGATGCTTTCGTAGCTGCAAGGTAGACCTCGCTCCGAGAGTGACACGGACATTTCTGACGGATCCGCGACAGATCGGACAGGTCATCAAACTATAGAGTTGTATTTGGACGAGTTCAGTTTTGTATTACAGATTCCTCACTCCGTATAAAATTACGTTGATCTTTTAAAACTACGGACATTTCTGACGGATCCGCGACAGATCGGACAGGTCATCAAACTATAGAGTTGTATTTGGACGAGTTCAGTTTTGTATTACAGATTCCTCACTCCGTATAAAATTACGTTGATCTTTTAAAACACAAGTTAATTAATGTTGTTCGGCAATGGCCCATCGAGCAGATCGAGTTCTACAAAGGTCAGCTACATATTAATCAAATTTTAATTAAAAGGAATGCACCCGTTGACCAGCGCGATTCGTCACTTCTGATTATGAATAAGCTTCATCTTGTTCTTTCCATGTCGTGTAAATTCATTGACCAAGTGCCTCTCGTCTGTTCTTTACATGTACATATATTATTTATACTACACCTAGCTAAGTTGACCCTCCGTACGTGAAAAATCTCCCTGTTTTGACTTTTGTTCAATGGGATAAGAGATGGATGGTCTCTCTCAGTACAATGATCTTATCTCAAATGATTTTGCCTGTGGTCCCTTATGGTACTGTACTCTCCACATCTTATACAGCAGTATTAGTTCTCTACAACAAGATGTTTGGTCCCTTTAATTTTGTTGTAGGAATTCATGAGTCAACCTGTATATGGATCTCTAATAGTCTTAACCAACTATAGGGAGGTGATATCTAAGAAGGAGGTGATTAATTCCTCAACTGGAATTTCCAGAGGCCTATATGAGCTATTATTCCAGGAACAGGAAGGAGAATAGCAATACAGTACAATTTTAATTGGATGCTTTTCAAATGGAAGTGAGATGATAGTTATTATAGGGTGGATTTTCATGCCCCATCCCGGCCATCCAGGGTTCTGCATCTTCATTTATAGCAGAATCAATTATACCAGCTCAAGGTACAGAATACTGTATCATAAAACTTACTCAGCATCTTTTTTGTTTGTTTTGCCAGCAGCGGTAATTTTCTGGTTCTCTTAATAATTCCCCTCATTTAATTTTTGGGTCCAACTGATGTTGACGTATGGCTATGCAGTACAGTATAACTAATATTTATGTCACACGTGTGTATCTGCAGTGATGCCCACCCAGCAAAAAATTTCGGAGTTGCGTGGCTACTTGCCAGCGTGCTGCCGGCGCGCCAGCGTTATGCGTCGGCCCCGACTCCCAATGTGTCGTTTTCCATCTCCCTTGGGTGTCGGGCCACCCGTCTATTGCAGCGTCCACCCGACGCCCGC